AGTTTAATGGGAGCAAAAGTCAATTTTGTAAGGTCCAATAAAAAGTTTATGAACTCGATTGTAAAATGACTATCAAATGCTAAATGTTTAGATTTGAAAGTATTTTTCAATAATGGACCAAGCTAAGGCGATACTTAGTAAATAGTGGGAATTAAGATATATTAAGTAGACTTTAGTAAATGTTTGAACGAGTAAAGGAATTTACCGTGTTAAACAAGAAGGACTTGAACAAGCCTTCGACCCATATGTATAAGACTAAGTAAATGTTTGAACTAACAGCTGGACAAATACTAAGTCAAACAAGACAGACTCTAGTAGAGACTTTCTACCGTATCATATAGAAAACAATTTAGCAAGACTGGATGAGGTAAAAGTCACATGAATGGCATGAAATTGGAAATAATTATGTAATTGAATCCGTCATGTGTGCTACGATATGGGACCGTCACATAACTTGCATGCTTAGAGCATGTGAAGTATAAAGTACCAATCAACTTAAATCTAACATCCAAAGTACTTGGTCAAGTAAGAGGATGAGTTCTTGATGCATGGAAACAAATATAATTAAGTACTGATGTTGCGAGCACAACCTTAGCAAGGATTAGATCCTTAACAAGGAAGCCATTTATAAGCGCGAGCTTAGATGCGTCGTGGCTTGTGAATGACAACATGGAGCTGCATCCATGTGTGGTGTGCGGAAATTTAATGTAAATTTCTATGACCACAAATGATTAAGGTATCCCAAATCATTGTGAGTCAGTTGGAGTGAAATCCAAGCAAAGCATCATTAGGAAGTCTACTAAAATATATATTGAGAATATTATTGCCTTAAAGGCATGCAATAATAAGAAAGTTGTTCAATGGATAGTTCGTTGTTGAACTTTGATAATTGTAGGTTGTCAAGTTGAAGATCTCAAATCATAAAAATGAGTGGGAGCCATCATTTGGACAATAAATCCTAAATCACATATAATCCATAACACACTCGAATTTTATCATCTTATTATGAAATTGTTCGATAATGAAGATGCTAAGATTTGCAAAGTAATCATAACTAAACCTATGCAATAAGTGAACCACAACATTCACAATTGTATAAAAGAAATCAAGCATATTAGATATGGGTATGATTTCTATTAATGTTTTGTAAAGAGTATTACTCTTAAAACATTTGGGGAAAACCATTTATCATAAGATGAAACGTTGAAAAGTTTCATAGTGGAATAAAATTTTACTAATTATTTCACAAACTATTTAATTGTTGTTTTGAATTAAATTATGAGTCCATTCAATTTGACGACATTCAAAATAGGGTATCAAGACAAGTCTTGGATAAAGAAACACCTATTAAGTGAACATTGAATGTCATATCGAAATTATCCCTAATCGAGGTCATTTGAAAGTTGGACGACTAATGACCGCGTGAGATTAGTGTGTAGTATGATTTATAGCACCGTTTCTTGTGCTACAAGGACAAGAATGTCATAAATCATTTGCACATGTATTAGTTTGAAACTATACTGGATCGACTTATGAGAATACTTTAAGAGATTTAACAATCGTCATAAGTATATTACTCATTATGGCTATCAGAACCTCTTTCATCAACCATGAGTATTGTAAGTTCTCTTGTTTGAGTACTAGTCCGTTTTGATGTTGTCAAACGTCTACGTACAACACTACTAGAAATAGGCCGAATTTCGATGGACCATTTCCGACGGACATGTTTTTCCGTCGGAAATCCAGTAAATTCCGACATAATTTTTATTTCGTCGGAAATTTACGACGGATTTCCTACGGAATAAAGATCCGTCGGAATTTATGGGCTTTCCGACGGAATATTCCGTCAGAAATATAATGTTCTACGGAATTAAAATTACTTCGAAAATTTCTGACGGAATATTCCATCGAAACAATAAATTTCCGGCGGAAATAAAATCCGTCGGAAATTATTCCGTCGGAAAATTATAATTAAATAATAAAAAAAACTAACCCTCAAAAACCCTAAAAAAAACCGGTTTCCCCCTTTATTTCTCATTTCTCTCTCCTCTCCTCTTCTCTCCGCCTCTCTTCTCCTTCTCTCTCCTCTCTTCTCCTTCTTCTTTTACGTTTCTCTTTCCTTTCTCCATCACCTTTCTCCTTCTTTCCTTTCTCTTTCCTTTCTCCTTCTCCTTTTTCTCCTTCTTTCTTTCTATGTCTCTTCGTAACATCAACATCAACAACCGCAACAACCACCGCCGCTCAACAACGCCTTCAACCACCAGTCGTTGCGTCATCCACCGTCAAGCAACGTAGAAGGCCGAAAATATAGGTTAAATATTGGCTAGTTTGTAGATCTAGGTTTATTTTTCACAAATTTATGATTATAATTATTTTTTTGATGAAATTGTAAAATAAGTTTCTAAATTTTGTAATGTAAGTTTGTAATTTTTTTGGAATTTTGGACTATTTAATATATAAATTGTTTTTTTCGATTTTGTGGTTTCGATTTCGTTTATTTGGTTTTTGTTTCGATTTTGTGGTTTCAATTTCGTTTTTTTTGTTTCGAATTTGTGGTTTTTGTGGGCTGTGGGGGTGGCAAGGTGGAGATACGGTGGTTGTGGGGGTGGCGAGGTAGAGATATGATGGGTGTGGGTGGGGGTGGTCTGGGTGGGGGTGGCGAGGTGGAGATACGGTGGGTGTGGGTGGGGGGTGGTCTGGGTGGGTGTGGGTGGGGGTGGTCTGGGTGGGTGTGGGTGGGGGTGGTGTGGGTGGAAGTGGTCTGGGTGGGTGTGGGTGGGGGTGGTCTAGGCAGGTGGCCTGGGGTGGGGGGCTGTTTTTTTTTATTTTTTTTATTGACTTATCCGATGGAATTTTCCGTCGAAAAATTCCTCTTCTGACGGAAAATTCCATTGGAATATACCTCTTTCGACGGAAAATTCCGTCGGAAACCTATCCAACTCCGACGGAAATTTCCGTCGGAAAATTGCGACGGAATTTCAATTAAAGTTAAAAACAGCGCCGACAGAATTAAATCCGTCGGAAAATCCGTCAGAAACAAGCCTTCCGACGGAAATTCCGTCGGAAAAGGCCGAATTTCCTACAAAGGGTATTGCGACAGACTAATTCCGACAGAATTCCGTCGGAAGGCTTGTATTCCGTCGGAATCTAGCTGTTTTCTTGTAGTGCAAGGGGATTATAAAGGCAACACTCGGACGGCTAGGGCCTCTTAGTAAGGGAAGCTAACAATGCAAGACTGGGAATGTCCCCCTATTAACATTAGGGACCATGTCTTTGTTATTTACAAGGCCTCTTAGAGAGCGAGACTGTGAAAATGCATGGCCATGCTCAGATGGAAATCATCTGCTTATTGACAGTCGAACTCGGAAATCAAGAAACACTTTTGGACGTAATAAGGATGACGATAAATCTTACCTTATAGTTCATGAAGAGATATAAAGAGACATAGGAAAAAGGCTATACACATGCAGCACACTTGTCCGGAAGGACAAGTGAGAGATTGAAAGGAATGGTGACCTTCGAACAAGCATATTATTCCGATAGAGGGTTCAGAATTAATTAGGAAAGCTAATTATTCAGTGAGGTCAAGTGATCGGAATGCCTAGCTGGAGGCCGCTTCCGATCAGTAATATTAATGAATAACTAATATTATAACTTGCTCTTGACTGAACCCTTCGGGTCACACCCGATCGTGTAACCGAACCAAGGCGAAGAATTAATCGGAAGGATTAAATAAGTCGATAGAGATTTTACAAACTATGACGTCGGATACCGAGCTTAGAGCGTCGAAAGTCGAGACGACTCTAGGAGTCGACGAGACGAGAAAATAATCAAATGACATATCGTGCTAAAAATTACAAGCATAGCACGAGGCCTAGTCATGCCTCATATTTAAGGAAATGACTAGGGGTCGCATGCACTAGACCATCGAGCCACAATAGCCATCGCAAGGCCCAACTAGGCTGACCTTGCGTGTGGGCTGGCTGGGGTAGCCTAGTGGCCTGCGCACCAAGGCAACCCTAGTTGGGCCTGCCTAGCAAGGCTGGCATATGCGGTGCTGTTGCTAGGGTCACGCTGCTGCTGTTGGGCTTGCGGTATGCGCGTGGGCTTGCAGTAAGGGGCCAGCAAGGCTTAGCCTTGCTGACTGAGTAGGTTTGGGGCAGCCCCTTGCCTTGTTTCCAAGGTAAAGGTGGTCCTCCCACCTACTCTCTCTTGTGTGTTGACACTTATTATTTGATTATTAAACATGCCTTTTAATTTAATTTAGAATTAAATTAACTCAAGGATTTTCTCATTTCACCAACTCTCCCACATGGAAAGTTGATGGAAACTCTTGGGAGTATTTCTTTATAAAATACCCATCTTGGGTATTGGAAATACTCACTTGAGTATAACTCAAAAGGAATCACCTATTAAGTGAGAAAGCCTTAAGTTCGTAAATCTCTAGTAATTTTGGTCTAGCCCCGTCTACACTACGGGGTAGGGGATGGTTCGGTAATCGAGGGTGTGAGACGTTAGAGGCCTTGCATTTGTGGGGCTTGAAGTTTTTCAAGTCCAAGCTCGATTTGTGAGCGAAACACGCATTAAGGGTGAGCTTCTTTCTCTCTCTTCTCTTTATGTGTTTGTGTTTTCTTTAGTTGCATACTATTTTGTTATGTTGTAATTATTATGCATGATCCGGTTTTCGGGTTTTGTTTCCATGCGGTGTCAGACACCGTAAAGCCCAACAAATTATTACAAGGAACAACATGCATACTATCAATAACTAGTGACTAGCTTTCGCTACCCAATTTCCTGCAATATTGAACTACATTCAATGTCTAACATGTTAGCCTATAGGATTTCCTCCTTCCCTGATTACCTCACATGTGAACCAAAAATTTTTTGGCCAAATGAAAAGGTTACAACATACTTCGTATATGTATCCTCTTACTAATTACTATTAGGGGTAATTGATAGCATTTACATTCTATAAATAAAAAATGAACAAGGCAACTGTGTTGATTTCAACTTTGGCTATTCTTCTCCTATCTTACAAACTGTACATCTTACAAAGCCTGATAACTAAAGTTCTTTTGATAGTTCATACTATTTTATGCTGCAACTACAATATTCTGTTTGTATTCCTGTATGGTAAAAATCGCGATTACAGTTTCTTGCAATCTAGCTGATGTAATCAGGCATTGAGGCTCTTGTATAACACTGATGAATTGATGATCAACGGATCGAGCTAATCCAAAACTAACAGACTACCTGTTGATACTTGGTGACAAAAAACAGTATGTATAATAGATGAGTTTAGCAAAATCTTTTGGTTGCTGTCTAAACCTTTATACTACAAAAAAAGCAGTTGCTCTGAATCTATACATTTTATGCTTCAGTAATCTCTTCACAATACATCTTCCAAAATGTTGATTTTTTATATTTCTTCATGGACTCCATGCTGCTAAGATTTCCTTTTAGAAGCTGTAAAACCTGAAGAGAGAAGATCAATGGAATAGAGTACGAGTTAAAGTCCCTCACAACCATCCGACACTAATCAAGGATTCACTAGGATTTCACTAATGTTTGGGGGTATGTTTGGACTTGGGATCTCGGAAATTTAACAATAATCTAGCTCTTGACAATTTGTTTCGAACATATCAAAGACACAATAGTACTAAAAGCTAACTATTATCTCCGGATAGAGGGAGTAAGTTACAAGCTCAGCATGTGTCTGAGTGCCAACAATGATGCGTATATTATCACACATTTATACAATTGTACTTGGTTCTCGTAATCATAATTTCTTGTCTTTAACATCACCTTTCCCATTTGCATCATTTGGAGTAAGTTTCAAGCTCATCATGTATCTATGAGTGCCAACTAACTGCCAACAATGATGCATATATTATTGTACATTGATACAATTGTACTTAGTTTGAGCAATTATAATTTCTTGTCTTTAACATCAACTTTCCTCGTTGCATCATTTTGCTTTTGTCACTTTTTTAAATTCTTATATTCTTTTCTAAGTTGATTATGTCATGAAAGTTCCACACACTGAAAATACAACAAATATAATGATGCATATCTGGAAGATAAGTTGAAGCTAAGAGCCATTTAAATTATATCTATTCTTAATAATATTCATCTTTTGGGTGGTTATTATAGAGAATATTTAGTTGTTATTTATCTTTTATTTTGATAGACTTAGTTTAGAGATTAGTTTATCTTTTGTTTTTAGAAAGTTCCATAGTTTACTTTGCCTATATAAAGGGCTTTAGGTTGTAACGTTTTCATAGAGAGAATTGAATTTGAGTTGTAGTTTGATCAATACATATGAATTGTTTTCCGCAAGAGAGTTGCATATGTTTTTTTGTCAGAAAGGCTTCCAATTTTAGTTGTTATTTAAACCTTGGTTAGGAATAATAACTCCATATCCCAGTTACAATTTGATCTTGCTTAGATTTAATTGTTCCATATCCTTTAGATTTAGTCCCTTAATCCCAAAATTGTGCAAAGTCTAAAACTATAATCCATCTAAGGTCGGAATTTTAGTGGAAACCATTAAAAATCCGCATCAAATTGGCGTGACTGTTGCTTGACGAGGGGAGAATTTGACAAAATCGTGTCAAAAAACTCAGTTTCGAAGGTCAGATTGATGGACTTTGTTCTCCTTCGTTTCTAAGGCTTTTGAAGTGATGCTATTTTCAAATTGGTTCATTTTTTGTCTAGTTTTTACCTTCAAAATATTAGAATTTATTGAGTAGTGTAGATATCAAACTGGGTTTGTTTTTGGCAACTGGTCAAAAATTGAACTGATTTGCCTCTTCTGACGAAAATAAAAACTGCGATCACTTGGCTGGGAATTTTTTGCTGAATTTTTGGTCGAGTCTTGTAGACATGTAGGGTTAGCATCATACAAAATTTCAGAATTATTTGAGGTGTTTTGATTTGGATTTGGTCCTCGCTCTTTTGATCAATTTCTGGACTGGTTTTGTGAGTTTTCTTATCCACTTAAACATGGAGAATCAAAGTTTGTTTTCATATAAGTACCTGATTCATCTGAGGTCGTCGAATTGAAGAGCGCTGTACACACAAGGCAGCAGCTAAAAGCATAAGCTTCATCTGTTTTGAGTTGAAGCGGTTATCAAGAGCAGGATCAATGAGCTCTCTGATGTTATTCTTTCTTAATAATGGTTTGGCCTAGAACAAACAGAACAACGAATGAGAATGGCATCAGTAATCAGTCTACACTTTACTACTAGTGAAGTGAAATCAAGTTCAAGTAAATGACATGGCTTACCCACAAAACAAGGCTTTGCTGTGAGCAATCAAGAGCACGGCGACCAGTAATTAGCTCCAACAAGAGCACACCGTATGCAAAAACATCTGTTTTTTCATCAACTATGCCATGCATCATGAATTCAGGTGCAAGATAGCTGTACAGATACATATCAGGTCAATCAGGATATAAATTAACTTTAGATGGAATTATGCAATAGATGATAAATTTTATGTACTTTATATAGTTGATACAAATGCACTCAAACTGCTTATTCACTATACCCAAAAGTTCCTTCAAATTTCAGAACAATGTGGTGAGTCCATTTATCCGGTAGCCATTTCGCAAGCCCAAAATCACAAATCTGCAACAATGTCATGCTTATTTAGACCAACATAATTCTACCCTGACAAGAAAACACAAAATCACACTAGAATTTGTACCATCTGGGAAGCATATGTATACCTGGGGTTCAAAGTCTTTTCTGAGCAAAATATTTGCTGCTTTAATATCTCTATGAATAATTCGCCGTTGACAACCATAATGCAGGTACATTAGTCCCTCAGCAATCCCTAATGCAATCTTATACCTAGCACTCCAATTCAATTTCCCCTTTGAACCTATCATATAAATTACCCTTTAATCAAAACACAAATAAAAACACACAATTATTAAACATGTAAAAACACAATGATTAGGACAAACCATGTAACAATGAAGCTAAACTGCCAAGATGTGAATATTCAAGAACAAGATGCATTCCTCCTTCAACACAATAACCAATCAACTTCGTCGTATTAGGGTGGCTAACATGAGCCATTATCCCTAGCTCAGTCAAAAAATCCGCGATCCTTTCTTCAGGCGTGCCTCGAGCAAGCCGTTTCACAGCAACAACTTGCCCATTACTCAATATTCCTTTATAAACTTCGGCATATCCACCCTTCCCAATGAAATTCTCTACACAATTACAACTAAACAAATTTCAAAAACATACTTGTATATGACAATATAACACACAAATAAAAAAAACATACAATCTTTAAAAACTTATATTTAAACTCATTTATTAAACCTTGGCTAAAATTTTTGGTTGCCAATTGCAGCTCAAAAAGAGTGAAATTCCTAGAAGGTGAATCAGCATTGCCAAAATAACACTTGCTTGACATCGAAAACGACGAACTCGAATTCGAATTCTCTCTCATGCTATTACTTCTCAACCCTGATAACTTGGGCACATTCAGAGACCCCAATACAGGTAATTGCTTCTTGGATTTAGACCTTAACAAGTCCATAAAACTGCGAAAACGAGAACCTGTTTTTGGGTTTTTCTGGGTTTCATTTGCATCATTGGATGAATTTGTATCAGATTCTACACTTCGAAAATAGTCCTCTAGAACGCCAACAGGAGAATTTGAATCCTGCCCTGTTTTTTCCATTTATTGGTTCAACTGAAACCAATATTATCAGAGTTTTATCAGTAATTTAAGTTGAGAAATACTGAAATACAGATTGAAACTAAAAATATGAAGAACATAGTAAATTTACCTTGGAATGAAACAGATTTTCAATGAAAGTGAGATCAAACCTACTACTTTGAAATTCAATGTGGTGGGGTACTGAAAATTGAAGAAAAGTTGAGATTATTGGTAGAGTAAAATTTAGACAATTTAACATGAATTAAACAAACAAATTAACAATATATAACAACGTAACAAGTAATTTTGCAACTTTATGCAAGGTAAGAAACGTTATTCAAAAAAAAAAAAATAAAAAAAAAAAAAATACATTTGAAACATTTTTTTATTAAACCAAAAAAAAAGTACAAGAAAAAATGGCACTGTATCTTACACTAAGAGTTTGAAAACAACCACATACAAACAAGAAACACTACAAGAAAAATACCTTTTCGATTTTAACAGTTCGTATCGATTGTAATTGCTACAAAAAAAAATCCCAATGAATGGTTATTCGATAATAATATCTGCTATTTTTCGCTTTCGATGGGGTCGTCCTTATTAATCGATACGGAAAATAACATTCAATCATGGTGATTATTGTAGCGATTATAATCGCTACAAATGTTGAACTCATTTTCTACAAAAAAAAAAAAAAAAAAAAAAAAAAAAAAAATCCCTATATATGATCTATACAAGATTCGAACATGCAACCTCAAGTTTTAATGTTAAATGTTTATCTAAGAACCTATGACATATTTTATGTTTTCTTTGTTTAACAAAATTTTAAAATGTAGTGTAAAAAAAGCTTTTCGTATTGATTTTTGGGTTTTAGTGGCGATTGTAAACGATATGCTTTTCCATAATTTTTTAAATTTGCATAAAAATGGTGAATAAATATTATTATGTTTTTCATATCGATTTCATATGGGTGGATTTCACTACTATTTTACAAACATATGTGCATATTGTAGCGACAATTTTCTTGTAGTGAAAGACTTGAACGAATGCCAAAAAGAAAGGTTAACTAACTTAGTTGGTTAAAACGTGTCAGTAACACCAAAAACTTCAAATTTAAACCCCGTTCATGCTAACATGAAGCGATAGTAGTGAAAGAATATTCAACTACCAAAATCTAGTTCACCAAAAAATATGTGAAGAACAAAAGAATAAGGATAATAATGTACCTTATTGAAGATGACTGTTCAAGTAGTTGTGTAGTTGAACATGATCTTTAGAGTTGCAATATCAAGCGTAGTGTAATAGAGGAAATGAATGGTTGGTTCTTGGTTGGTTTATATAATGTATTATAGTATGATAAATAAAGTATTAAGGTAACGGTTTTAGATCTTAAATGAAACTGGAATTCTAAGTTAATGTGGTGTCAAGTAATCGATTACATCAATAATTTTCATGAAAGAGAAAAAGGTCCTTCTAAATTATAAAGAAGGATAAAATTTTACAAAAACTTTTGCATGCCCCCGGTTTACAATAAATTTATTGTACATCGAACATTTTCGAAAAGTGATCCTTTTTACTTATAAAAGTGACCCTTTTTTTTTACAAAAGTGACCCATATTTTCACAAAAGTGACCCTTTTTTTCCATAAAAGTGACCCTTTTTTTTATACAAAAGTGACTTATATTTTTACAACAGTGATTTTTTTTTTTCACAAAAGTGACCCCTTTTTTCCTCAAAAGTGTTCTTTTTTTTTTCCACAAAAGTGACCCTTTTTTTCCACAAAAGTGTTCTCTTTTTTTCCACAAAAGTGACCTTTTTTTTTCACAAAAGTGACTTTTTTTTCCCAAAAACAGAGTATCAAAATCAATAAAAATAAACACAAACGCATGCAAAAGTATACTTGATTGATGTCGTATGCTTAACGAAAAAATGACAATTAACTTAGCTTGTTTCTGAAATTGGGGCTTGAATTGAGAGCTTCTCCTTCTTTAGCTTGTTTCTGAAACAGAGTACCGACGCGAAATTGGGCAGAACAATTCCTTATTGAATTCTTTTACAGTTTATTCCTGCTTCAATAGGACATGAGGGGATTTTAAAATTAAGAGTTTATAATTTCTTTGGATGGATAACTAATGTCCTTTCTAGGCAAAAAATTGAGATGACGATCTACAAGGAACAATAGATCGGAGTTCGGCCGGATTATTGGGAGATGCTAAGGGAGTTCGACGGTGGCGCGGCAGCTGGGAGTGGCGACAGGGTTGGTGGTTTGGCGGTGGGTGTTTTTCTCGGCGGTGGTCCAGCTGACTTCGGCGGTGACTCCATGACTTAGAGTTGATGAAGTTACATGCCCAGCCCGATTTACACTAATTTAGTGTAGACCGGATGTTATTAAATATTTGTGAATTTTATAGTTTATGTTAGAAATTATGGAGGGAAATTATTACATAAGATTTGTGTATTTTTCAAGATTAATAGCACTCGAGTAGTCGAGTGGTCTGATTTTGTAAGATATACTAACACGTCCAAGTAACACCCATTAAATGAATGAAAAAAAAAAAAACCTGTATACTTTCTGATAAAGAAACATTAAATTTCATCATCAACTAATGTTTGTGTTCTAACTTATAACGCTTAGTATTAAGACTAAAATATAATGAAGTTAGTTTTCCCGTCAAAAAAAAAAAAAGTTAGTTAAATATTTACAAGATTGGTGTTATCAGACTTATCACAAGTTTTATTAAATAATGTATAAATAAAAATTTACAATTGATTTTATTTACAAGATTGGTGTTATCAGACTTATCACAAGTTTTATTAAATAATGAATAAATAAAAATTTACAATTGATTTTAGAAAAATTAACACAAAATTAACAAGATTTTTTTTTAGACAAATTCTCCAAAAAAGCGGGTGTACGTTAATTAATTGTAAAGCAGGTTAAAGTTATGTTAAAAGTACGTAAAGTTACCCTTTATACTGCAAAAGTTATTATTTTTCTATTAATAAATTTTATCTTATAAAAAAATTATAATGTATTAGATTAATCATATTAGTCTTTATAGTATATAATCACGTATATATAAGAAATTACACATTAAAATAAAATTCAAACCAACGACAAATTAAAAATTACCCTTTAAACGGTTAAAGGTATCATAAAAATAGTTAAAGTTACGCTCAAACTGATCGTTTTACAATAAAATTAATGTACACCCGTTGTATACAAGATTTTTTTTATTTTTTATTTTTTTTTGTTATTTTTGTAAAGTATATACTATATTGTTTAAAATACTAAGATAATCAATTAAAATTGGATGATTATAATAAATAGGAGTATGTCCGAGCGGCTAATAGAGAAACGGGTCGTTGACACGTCCAAGAGAAGTATGAAAAGTTGACAAGTAGAGTCATGATTTATTGAATTTGAGAATTTAGATTTGAGGTGTTCACTCTGGTGAGTTACAATGACTGTTGGCTGTCTAATTGGGACGTAGTTAATGCTTTTAAATTTAATTTAATGCCTGATGTCCAAATATAAAAATAAAAAAATCTCGTATATTGGTGATGCAATGCTGAACTCATGAAATTTTATACAGTGATGTCAAAAACTGATCTAGACTGGGGAATCGGAGTATTTTGAACCGTTTTGAAAAGGTCTCGAACCGTTAAGAATCCTTTTTCAAAAATCGAAAACTTGACCAAAATTTTTAAAAACAGAAACTGAATTGAACAAAATATTTGAAAACCGTTAATGACTCGTTCCAAAACATTTACAAATGATCAAATTTTAATAGAAAATATGACAAATTCCCAAATTTTACAATTGAAAATTTCTATTTAGCAAATTCAAGTGGGGTTAAGGGAACCACATAGGGCAATGTGGCTCCGCCACTGCATTTACAACTCGTAATCTATTATGACCAAACCGTTTAAGCGTAACTTGTTTCCCCCTTTTTCTCTATCTCCTTCTACATCCCCCATATTCTCTATTTGGTATTTCCTTTTGCCCACTAATCAATCAACCCAACTTGTTTCATGACCTTTATTAATTGTGAGTTTATGATCAAAACCCTTCTGACTTGCTGACCTGCTGAAATTGAAGAAAGAAAACACATATGAAAGTTGGGATTATTGCAAAATTATCAGAAGTTGGATTATTTAAAGTAAATTGGGCAAAATTGGGATTATTAAAATGAATTTTTCCAATAAATAATTTCAGTTCAGTTAAAATCAGTAATTTTAAAGTAGAAATATAATATAAACCAGTAAAAATAGTTTCAGTTCAATAAAATTAATTTTTATTATGTAAAAGTAATTTAATTTCAACAAAAATAAATTAATTTCAATTAACGTAATTTCACTTCATCAAAAATAAGGTGAACTGAATAGAACCATATTAAATTATTAGCCTTCGAAAACATATTAGAACTTATATTACTTGAAATAAGCCAAATAATGAACCTAAATCTCATATTAGTTCTGGTTTAAGGGAGTCACTACTCACTTTGATAATAGCTCCATTATTATTATTATTATTCTTATTATTATTATTATTATTATTATTATTATTATTATTATTAATTTTCCTAATTGACCCAAATACATAATAGAGCAAATTTTGACACGAAAAACGATAATTTTTAGTTAGAAGGTGGTAAAATCTAACTTTTTATGTGTGTTTTGGTGAGTGGTTAAATATAAAGAAAATTTGCCAAGAATAATTCCAACTTTGTCTCTCCATTCAAAATAATCCCAATTTTGATCCTAACTTTGGATTAAATTTTGAAGTCATAATTAGATTACATGGGCCACAAATGCCATAAATTAATGTTTTTATTAACGGAATGTTATGATAGTGTACAAGTCAAAATTACAATCGGGCATGTGGAATAAAAATAAAAATTGGATACCAAATGGGAAAGCACAAAGTATAAAAACAAAATACTTGACTCTCTTAACCAAACTAATGACTAAACATGGGATTGAGTTTACTGACACTATGAACTCCTTGATAGAGTATATAAACTAGCCATAATTTAATACATCTATTTTAAAAATTATTGGTATTATAAAAACTTAGTAGCCAAACTTAATAATTTGAATCAATATTATATATTAAAGTAATACCAGGATTATCCCAAAAATACCTGTGCCAAGTCCACAATAATAATTTTCCCGTCAAAACTTTTTTTTTCTTTTTTTATCCCTATAAAATAATAAGATAATTATTATTTTTTAAATAATAAAAGAGAATATGCAGCCTAAAAATTAGAATAATAACAACTACTTTAAATAAATAAAATATATTTTTTTTGTTATATAATATATGTATTTAGTGGATGTCCATTATACCCTTATGATAATTCTAGGATATTCTAGATATACTATGTTTATTATTCTACAAGGAAACCCTAATTGTATCACCTATATATATATATATATATATATATATATATATATATATATATATATATATATATATATATATATATATATATATATATATATACGCCTACATCATTGATTAATAAGAATATCCATCTATTCTCTCCCCTACTTTCTCCTATCCCCTTTATTTCATAACACGTTATCAGCACCAACCCTAGCCGACTGAGCAAGACCATATCCCATCAATTTGTATGAATTTTCTGTTAGAATATGATGCAAAAGCTATTTACTATTGATTGAAACCACACCTCAAAAGATAAGTCTACGGAGGAATTACCATTGAAATCTAACATCGTTCTTGATTGAATAAGTATTCAGGCATGCATCAAGAGGTAAGTTTACACTTGTAATT